AACTTTGATTTCGGACAACTGTAAACTGCATAACCTATATCTTCCGTCCCTTCGTCTTAGTAATTATTTTTTGTAACCTTACTAAAATTCACGAACCCTATCCAAATTTATTTCCTTTTTAAACTACTATGCTAAGTCAACAAGTATCGCATTGTAAATAGTTTGCATGCGTTGTTACGTTCAATTGCCAATGGTCATCGTCGTGAAGGTTAGGTGTGCAAAAAAGAACATAAGTATAAGAGACACGCTCGGGCGCATGAAAGAAATTAAAGAGGCATTGCGAGTCAATGGGGCATTCACAAAACTGTATTAACGAGCTTTAAATTGTACCGGTTATAAGGCTCCACAATAAGCAGTGTCAATAAAAGTTTTATTTCGTCTGCTATCTCGTCTAACGGCGGTGTATAAAACAGCGTTACGAATACGTAATGATGTCACGGTAATTTATTTTACATCTTGATCGTCTAGTATTTGTACTCGCAATAAAATAGATCGAGGTATTCGGTGAACCGGTTGGGTTAGATCTCGCCTTGTGTCTAACAGCACGGTCGGGCCTGTAAAATCGAGGAGAGAATCGACCCTGGGGAAATTCCTTTGAATCATCGAAACGTTAAATGTACATAAGGCCACGTTCAATTAATCGGAAAGCGGTCCATCGATTCGCTGGAAATAGAAACCCGGTCGAAGGTGCAAAACGAAATCACCTACGAAATTCTCGAAAGATCTGCATCGACGTTTCCCACGAGCGTCACCAGAGGGCCAAGAACTCCACGTTCTATGGTGTTTCAGTCAGTGATGCCAGATTCATCACCGGGTGCACTACTCTCACGCTATGCCAGATCACGCGTACGTGAGCTCGTGGAGTTTCGGAAAATCGACAAAGGCAAACATGCACTCTTTCTCGATTCTCCAAAGCTGCCCCGACGTAATTTCGGACCGTCTCTTGGGAGTCGAGAGAGAAAGGCTCACTTATCAATTTTCCTACAGTGTTCCGCTGGCCTCTGCTGATCGCTGCTGACCACTCCTGATACTTCTGACAATGTATAACGATTACTACAGGCTACCGGCAACGTCTCGCGGCCTCTACTGGTTTCTGCTGGCCTCCGCTGACCACCGCTTATATTTCTGACAACGTATAACGATTACTACTGCATTCTGCCTGCCTCCGCCGGCCTCTGCTGACCGCTGCTGACCATTCCTCATACTTCTGACAAAGTATGACGATTACAACTTGCTATTGGTCGCCCCTGCTGGTCTCTGCTTGCCACTGCTTGCCACTGCTGGCCTCCACTGGCCTCCGCTGACCACTGCTGACCATCCCTGATGCTTCCGACAACGTATAACGATTACTACTTGTTACTGCCTGCCCCTGCTGGTCTCTGCTCGCCCCTGCAGGCCTCTGCTGTCCACTGCTGACCACTCCTGGTACTTCGTGCAACGTGTAACGATTACGACTGGCTACTGCTAGCCTCTCCCAGCCTTTGCTGGCCTCTGCTGACCACCGCTTATATTTCTGACAACGTTCAACGATTACTACTGACTTCTGCCAACCTCTGCTGACCGCTGCTGACCACTTCTGATATTTCTGACAACGTATAACGATTACTACTGACTTCTGCCAACCTCTGCTGACCGCTGCTGACCACTTCTGATACTTCCGACAACGTATGACGATTACAACTTGTTACTGCCTGCCCCTGCTGGTCTCTGCTTGTCTCTGCAGGCCTCTGCTGTCCCCTACTGTCCCCTACTGTCCCCTACTAACCCCTGCTGACCCCCGCTGACCCCTGCTGACCACTGCTGACCCTTGTTAACAACTTCTACCATGATATATATGTATTAAAACATTGTATAATGTAAATTTATGGCAATAAATGTTATAATTTCAAAGAATTCTATCTGTTCTCGTCCTTTTTACCTTTCTTTACCTCTCCAAAGCATTCCCATAGTTATAAGATACGTGCCATCACTTCCGCTATCATGTCCTCCTGATAACGAAGTCTAAAATGAACCTAAAATCGCCACCGCCATACCTATCGTTTAAAAATTAACTTTAAAATTTTTCGTCAAAAAGTCCTGAAACAATTGCAAAGTCCTGAAACAGCTAGAAAGTCCTGAAACAACGAAAGTTTTGAGGCAGCTGGAAAGCCCTGAAACAGTTGGAAAGTCCTGAAACAGCTAGAAAGTCCTGAAACAACGAAAAAGCCCTGAAACAACGAAAGTTTTGAGACAGCTGGAAAGTCCTGAAACAGTTGGAAAGTCCTGAAACAGCTAGAAAGTCCTGAAACAACGAAAAAGCCCTGAAACAACGAAAGTTTTGAGACAGCTGGAAAGTCCTGAAACAGCTAGAAATTCCTGAAACAACGAAAAAGCCCTGAAACAACGAAAGTTTTGAGACAGCTGGAAAGTCCTGAAACAGTTGGAAAGTCCTGAAACAGCTGGAAAGTCCTGGAATTTTCGGAAACCCTGAATTTTTAGCAAAGTTCTGAGTTTCAGGACTTTCCAGCTGTTTCAGGACTTTGCAGCTGTTTCAGGACTTTCCAATTGTTTCAGGACTTTTTGTTAAAGTTAATTTTTGATTTCGGCAGCAAGTACGAGAGCTGGACACTTTGGGAATCCAATTTTAACCGGAAAAACGGTCTCTTAAAACTAAGGCAATGATTTGGAGAGGAAAAGGAAGGTAAAAATGATGAGAAGACATAGAATTCTGTTAAATTATATCATTTATTGCCATAGATTTACATTATACAAGGCTTTAACATATACATCATATCAGAAGTTGTCAGCAAAGATCAGCAGTGGTCAGCACGGGTCAGCAGGGGTCAGCAGAGGCCAGCAGAGGGATGCAGAGGCATGCAGAGACCAGCAGGGGTCAGCAGTAACAAGTAGTAATCGTTATACGTTGTCAGAAGTAACAGGAGTGGTCAGCAGCGGTCAGTGGAGGGCAGCGGAGGCAGGCAGAAGTCAGTAGTAATCATTATACGTTGTCAGAAATATAAGCGGTGGTCAGCAGAGGTCAACAGAGGCTGGGAGATGCTAGCAGTAGCCAGTCGTAATCGTTATACGTTGCACGAAGTACCAGGAGTTGTCAGCAGTGGTCAGCAAGGGTCAGCAGGGGACAGCAGAGGGATGCAGGGGCAAGCAGAGACCGGCAGGGGCAGGCAGTAACAAGTAGTAATCGTTATACGTTGTCGGAAGCATCAGGGATGGTCAGCAGTGGTCAGCGGAGGCCAGTAGAGGCCAGCAGGGGCAACCAATAGCAAGTTGTAATCGTCATACGTTGTCGGAAGTATCAGAAGTGGTCAGCAGCGGTCAGCAGAGGTTGGCAGAAGTCAGTAGTAATCGTTGTACGTTGTCAGAAATGTAAGCGGTGGTCAGCAGAGGTCAACAGAGGCTGGGAGATGCTAGCAGTAGCCAGTCGTAATCGTTATACGTTGCACGAAGTACCAGGAGTTGTCAGCAGTGGTCAGCAAGGGTCAGCAGGGGACAGCAGAGGGATGCAGGGGCAAGCAGAGACCGGCAGGGGCAGGCAGTAACAAGTAGTAATCGTTATACGTTGTCGGAAGCATCAGGGATGGTCAGCAGTGGTCAGCGGAGGCCAGTGGAGGCCAGCAGTAGCAAGCAGTGGCAAGCAGAGACCAGCAGGGGCGACCAATAGCAAGTTGTAATCGTCATACTTTGTCAGAAGTATGAGGAATGGTCAGCAGCGGTCAGCAGAGGCCGGCGGAGGCAGGCAGAATGCAGTAGTAATCGTTATACGTTGTCAGAAATATAAGCGGTGGTCAGCGGAGGCCAGCAGAAACCAGTAGAGACCGCGAGACGTTGCCGGTAGCCTGTAGTAATCGTTATATATTGTCAGAAGTATCGGGAGTGGTCAGCAACGATCAGCAGAGGCCAGCGGAAGACTGTAGGAAAATTGATAAGTGAGCCTTTCTCTCTCGACTACCAAGAGACGGTCCGAAATTACGTCGGGGCAGCTTTGGAGAATCGAGAAAGAGTGCATGTTTGCCTTTGTCGACTTTCCGAAACTCCACGAGCTAACGTACGCGTGATCTGGCACGTGTGAGTCCGTCGATGCTTCTCTGACACCTCTGGTTTAAGTATGCCCTGTGCATAAAGCGACGAACGTCGAATTTAAACGAAAAGAGACTCGAAACTTTCAAGACTGTAAGGTTTCGAACGGCTTTTAATATTATTCGATATCTGCCAGAAGTTCTTGAATGGCTCGACAGGTCGCGAAATTTTAAAGTCTTGAATTTCTGTACTCTTAACCAAAAAATGAAATTCACGTATCAACGAAGCTCGACGGTATATTGTATGTTGCGTGTTTCTATGAATAAAATCGTCTAACATGCTACGATCATGTATTTACTCGCCCTTTACAGTCCCAGTGCGTATTAATTTGCCGCACAGCTTCTAACGGTTGCATGGACTGGCGGACCGAAAACGCGACAAAGGAACGTTCTTAACCTAACAACGAGAATAATTTATAGAACGCTAACGAGGCGTAAAATCAAAGGCGAGTAATTCGACGCTCGGCGTCGATTCCGCGGAAACACAGTATCGCAATTACTCACGGGAAATCAACGTGCTGCGGGCACGAGAGATTCGAGCAACGTTCTATCGTCGTTGTATCGCTTGTTTTTTCATCCAGCCGCGATAAATTCGTCGCGGAAAAATATTTGCACAGTTATTGGATCGGACACGAAAGTCGACGCATATTCGGCGCGCGTGGTACGCGATGGATCATATTTTCCATAACGAGCGTAGTCGATAATAATTGTATTTTTGTAAATATTGTTCCACGCATTTTAGAACGTTAAACGTTTGTATCGATAGAAACTAGAACCTATCTCGTTCATAACCGTTGTAACGCCATCTTGGTTCTTAAAGGGTTTTAGAACCATTGTGTACCAATATCTTTGACGATGCAATAAAAATGAACATCAATTCTTATTTGATTTTTTTATTTAATCCTATTTGTGTATAAAAAGATTGGGAATTACTGTACTAAAAACAATTCCTATCAACGGGGGGGGGATTACACGTGTACGAATTATATTACAATCGCAAAGGGCTAAGCGCCGGAAATTCTTTTCATCAGTCTGTGTAACATTCGATACCCGTCTCTTTACAAGATCTCCTCGCTACGTTAAACGTCCGCTGTCTGCCACGTGGATATCAGGACGGTTTGACTCAGGAGTCCGCCGAATACAGTACTGTCTCGCTTCCCGAAAACCAATCCGGGACCGCCATGTTTTTTCTTGGAACTGGTCGAGCTCGAACGGGCCGCTCGAAAAGGGGTTTTTAATTACACGGCTACCGGCCGTCCGAGCCGACGACACATAAACAAGGGCTAGGGGGGGCGATTCCGTCGCGAGCAAGCGAGGGAGTACTGTACGCAACAAATATCGCCCGTAACATTTATCTAAAAGCATTTTTAAAACTAAGAAACGTAGCTATATTACAAGGGACTATGTTGCATAGTGTTTTACAAAGAAGATAGAATATTTGTCGCTATAAAAATCTTTTTCTTTACGGACAGTCTAGTGCAGTGTTTTTCAAAGTGAGGAGGGGGACGAAAGAAAATTTGCCACGTAGAGAAATGTGGATAACTTGAACGCTTCTTTCTAACAATATATTAGTCGTCGAAACTTGTCTCGAACATAGAAATTTTCTTTCTTGTAGAGGGGACGTAGATTAAAAAGTTTGGAAAACACTGGTCTAGTGGTCGAGTCTCGCGTTAAGCCACAATCCCACACATCTAACCTATAATATACTGCACATTTGAGGGGGCAATTCTTTCAACGAATTGTCCGTGGATTTCGAATACAAAAATGAAATGAATGAAAGTCAGTAAGAGTTCTCGTTTAAAATCGATTAAAATTCCCCATCGACGATTTATGGTCGATTCGCGTTATGGGTAATTATGGGTCAGCGTCGAGTCGGTCGGCACATTAAAGTCGCGACAAATATTCTTCTGTACTATTTACAGAACCACTTTGACGTGCCGGCTGGTTTTACGCTGACGTTACCCACGATGCGAAACTGGTCTAAACGCGTTAAGAGGTTATGCCACTACGACGTCGAAAGAGAGGTTACGTTTTACGAATTTTTCGTGACTAAACTATTGGCTCGATCGAAGCCTATATATTAAAAACTATTTCTTATGTTCGCATTAGATGCTGGGAAACAAAATGGCGATGCCCATAACCTGTACCTGGTTTTACATCAGAGCAATTGTAAAAATTCAGAAAACTTAGACATTTAGAAGAGAATAGGTTATTTTTAAGTCACCCAGGCTCTCTTTTATATTATTTTGTGGGGTTCAAGACTTTCGTTTTATTCGAAAAATATTATTTTTTCGTCGACGTGCGGGTAGCATAACCCATTAAACGGTCAAGTGGTTTCAGCGCCACGCGCCGCAGACATGAGGACGGGGCTTAACGCACGCATCGACGAACGCTCGCGAAACCGAGCGGTCGTTCGCAGAAGTCCGTGAACAATTTCGCAGTCGACGGTTTAAAAACGTTTTCGAACGGTCGCCGATCGGGGCTTGTATCGCGAGCGTTTTAAATTGATCCTGTTCAACCTTGACTCCCGATAGCTCTCGAGTTATTTTCACGTCGTTCGAACGGCTCGACCGAGGACGCCGAGGCCTGCACCTACCGTCGAGGCTAAATTTCTCCGTTTCGAGGCGAACCGTGCACCTCACCTAGCCTGGCCTAGCGTGATCAATAACGTATCTCTTGCTCGTCGCGTGCCCCGTGCAACGCGACATATTGCAACGAGTCCTCCCTGGCCGTTCCGAAATTGCTTCAAAGCGACTCTAACGGATCGAAACTCGGTCAAACTCCCCGGGAGACCCAAAGTCGAATGTTTCCCATGGGACGCGATCGATATTCCGTGAGAAATCGCAGGAAAACGAGCATGAGTATTACAACTATAGATCCCCGTTCACACAAGACATTGTGTATTCTGCTCCTCGTTTACAGAAGAGTTTCATAGAGGTTACGTTTGGGTCAGCCTGCCCCGTGGTCTCTCTTTCCGTCGTTGTTCCCTCTCCGACTACTGGGACTCGACTGTTGCACCGGACAGTCGCGCGACGCATCTTTTTGCAACGCGAGGAAGTTCGTTTCCACGAAACTATCGGGCGTAGCGCTGCCAGTCGTTCCTGGCGGTCGAGTCCGTTCGTCGATCGACCTTAAAATCGTTACGTCCTACGAACACGGGAGTTCCTAAAGGGCGGTCCGGAGGAATTCCTCGAAGGCTTTTCGCGGATTTTGCACGATCGTTACGGGCGTGAAATCCACGCGGCGTGGCTTCCTCTCCGGGGCCCCCGGTGTCTCGCGAAAGGCAAAAGAGGAACGGTCGAGCGAGAGACCGTCGCGAGGAGCAGCAGGGGGCGGAGGGGAACAGGGAGTAGGTGCACGAGGTGGGGTGGGTGGGGGAGAAAAGGCGAAGTCGACGACGACGAAGAAGAAAGAGATCGACCACCGCCCTCGGTCGACAATCAACGGAGAAGGGGAAGGCCGACGTCGGCGTCACTCTAGGCTCCTGCTTGCAGCGAACCTTAGTTCGAGGTGGAGGGCGTCTTGGGAGGCTGGAAGGGGTTCCATTTCAGACACTCCGGATCGATCTCTTTGTAGACGGGCCCCCGTCTCTTCACCCTCTCCTTGTAGTCGTCGATCACGTCCTGAAATTATTTCAACGGTTCTCCACCGGTACGTTTTCCCCCTTTTTCCTTTACCTTTCTTTCTCGCTTTTACACCGACGGGGCCGGTCGACCTTCTGCGAGAATTTTCCGTTTCGCGGGCCACCCGGACCGGGATCGCGGCGATAAAACGGCACCGCGACGCTCTTGAACGCTGCTCGTCGACGTCTTTTGGAATCATTGTACACGGTTTGTCCCAAAAATACCTGAACTTTTTTCATTTTCACAGCGGCGTGTAACAACGAAGCCTAACCTAACCCGTCGTACAAAATAATTTCTTTTGGACGTTCGTCCCACCGTACGAGGAATTTAACCGTGATAAATATGAAACGATCCGCCCATACTTTCTGTACGTTTGCCTCGCCGGATACAAAATAATCGTAAACGAGAATTTGATCGCGTTTTGAAGAAACAATTTCGAACAGTTCCGCCTTATGGTTTAGTAATATATAAAAATAATTATAAACGAGAAATCGAGCCGCAGAGGTGGGTCGGTATTTCGGAACAAATTTCAAATAATTTCGAACATTTCTGCGGTCCCGTGTGCTGTGCACCCGTTCCACGCCCCTGGTCATCGATGCGTGCTACTTTTTGGCTTCCAAAGGTGTTGTAGCGCTCAGTCACCCGTGGTATTCGCTTGATTTGGCACTCTGCGACTATTTTTTATTTCCTAAATTACAAGAAAAGCAGTTCAACGCGACATCGAGCACTCGGTGCGGCTTTCGATCGCCTTCTTTCACGCCGTGTCTCGAAGCAGGCGTGTGTCGTGGATGTATCGACAGCTTCTATGGACGTCGCGAAACGTGTATCTTATATTTTTTTGCAGAAAAGGAATACTCGATGATCGACAGCAGAAGTTATCGTTTCACGAGAGAGAAAGAGAGAGAGCGATTTTCATTCAAGTTCGGAAACTTTTAGGATAGACCGTGTACCAGCAGCTTTTCCTTTTAACTTTCGCGAACTTTTCCGACGCTACGGTCGCGTTTCGAGTTCCCGAAGGCAAATACAACTTAACCCTTTCACGACAGGCGGCAGCCTACGTTAAATGGCGAACAGAGTCTGCGTAAAATTAGCGCGGAACTCGACTATATCGCGGAAATTATTGATTCGGATGAAAGTCGGTTGAATCGAAAATGGAAAGATTTTGTACCACACCCTTTGATGCCCAACCCTTATTTTTTCTATCAAAACCTTTGGGAAGCAAGATGCTTTTTAAACAAAAATTCTAAATTGGCAAACCACCCCTCAGAGCTCACAGTATATCAGGCAAAATCGATGCAGTGGTCTCGGTTCATACACGGGGTGTTCAACCCTTCGCACTCCGAGGACTCTATTTAACGCGAACGACTAGGAACTCTAGGGCAATTTTGTTTCCCTACGAAAATTTATATTCATAGTTGATCTATTTCATATTAATAGACTGTGGATCTTTATGCAAATTCATATTTTTATTAATACAATTAATGAAATCGGAGCTTTGTAGAGGGTTGTCTCAACCCCTAAATATTAGGTCGTCCCATATGTTCGTGCCGAGTTTTCTACTGCAACTTGAAGTAATATTTTAAACATATGATGGAATTTTATGAAAAATAGTAAACCTCTTTTCATTCAACAACTCCTTCCTCTTCTTTTGGCAAAGCCATTGTATCGTCGCTCCAAAACTTGCTGGATATTTTATTCAAATTTAGTTTAACGCTTTTCATTAAAACGTTGACATTTTCAAATTGTTTATCCACTAATAAGACAGGAGATTGTTATATTTTATATCTTATAAGATTCGGTTTTATTATATGCTAACAGAAATATTTGTTCCATAAGCTAGTGTGGATTCCAAACTTCGAACTTTGACACAATATCTATTTCTTTCAAATTTCTATGAATTGTTGATGTTACTATGTTTGAAATTTCAGAAATCACCTCAACTGACAAATTTTCTTTGTTTTCTATTAGATTACAAATTTTATCCTCATCAATTACAGAATATTGAACGGCACGAACTTATGGGACGACCTAATATAATAATTCTTATATTTTTGTGTAACAAGTGAATTCTGTAGTTTTTTGGGAATGAAAATTTCTCATAAATGCACAGACATCCGCAGTCTATATATTAGTTTTGTTTTATTGGAAGCTTCGTGGTATCGCGAGATGATTTTTAAATAAATTCGTAGGCGTGTGCACTGTAGCGGCCATAAGTCGCGAAAGGGTTAATGCTCGCGTGAAATTCTGCAGGTCACCTTACCAGTGGCGTCACTAGGATTGATTTTTCCCCATGGACCCCTTCTACCAGACCACACAGAATCCTCACTAATGTTCTTTTGTATTAATAACATTAATCAATCGTAATTCCAGTATATCGCTTACAAAGGGTTAAAACCACCCCCGTAACGACAACAACGGCGACACGAATTTTCCAATTTTAATTCTAATCGTTTCTAAATTTCCATGCATTCGAAACGAAGGGTTTGGTTAGGAGACAACGGAAATAAATAATAAACGTTTAACCCTTTCATTCCCAAATAATCGACAACTCACAGGAGAAGGTATTTGTATTTCCGTCCATATAAAATCACAAAAGATCGATTTACGAAAACGTTCGAGCACAGTTTATCGTTTCTCTTTTTATTGCAAGTACGTAAGATAATTTGCATTGCAAAGCTGTATTACACGACGTGAACCCTTTCTCTTGCCTTTGGTCCGTAAATCCACCTGAAATATTTCAAGGATGTTATACTTTTCCAAATTTATATTCGCATTTATAGTAACATTTATCGTCGTGCTAAAAGGGCGTCCACGCGATCGATGGGAATACACTGTACTTTATCGCGAGCATTTTTTATCATCACCGTTTATGCAAAATTCAAACGAACCAATATATTCACAAATTTGAAAATCGAAAACGATCGAACGGTTCGAAATGCGTTTGCCATGGTGCCGGCAGTGGGAACGAAAGGGTTAACAAACTATTGATATAGTGATGAATTTGTTTCGATATTAACCCTCGCAAAGTAAGACCAAATAAAATCGTTCCGGGCAAAGTATTCCAAAATCGAGCCAAAAAAAAGAAATATCGTTCAACCCCCGCACAGTGGTCTGATCCCCAGAGACTGTGATTGCGTGTTTAATTATGAAAACGGGGGTACAGAAAAATTAGCACACCCCTGATCGAGCAGCCATTGTTCGATGGGGCCCCATACACCCTCTGCGCCCACCTAGTGAAGCCACTGTACCTTACCCAAGATCGCACGCCGTGCAACAAAGCCTCCTTCGGTGGCTTTCGCGACGGAAGCCGCTCGCATCCCCCTGCAATTTATGCGCGCGTAACTTCGAAAGGGCGCGGGACATTCGGGCTCGTAATTTCGTTACGAGTTGTCCGTCGTCGACGAGCTTTTCTCGAGCGAACCGCCTTGCGTAAATCACGCGACACACGATGACACGAGATCGTTCGTGGAGGAGAACTTCGAGGGGTGTGTGTACGTGTAGGGGTTTAAAAACGAGCGTTATCCGGCGAGGAGACGCGAGCGTAGCGAACCCCTCGTGTATCCTCGAGACAAATTAGAATCACAAAGGGGTGGAGAAACTTACCTGTTTCTTCAGAATGATATGCTTGCCCTTCCAGTACTTCATCATACCGAGGGCCTGCAGGGTGCTGACTATGTCGTACGAGTCGATGGCCATCTCCTTGCTGATGTCTGAAAAGACGACACGCGAACGGAACGATAGCGAGAAACGAGCAACGAAACAGGACCGGGAGGGGGGGTGTGGTGGGTCTCGTATTGCGTCGGGACGTCCTCGACGTCCTCGACGCCGGGGCGCTCGAAATAATACATTACCTTTAACGGAGAGTTCCTTGCCCCCGAAGTTGCAGAGGTACTGCAGCAAAACGTCCTTCCAGTAGCTGCGATACGAGATCAAGCCCAGATCCGATAAAGGCTTCTCGGGCGAGCCAATCTTTTTCTCGACCCTGGTCAATAAGTAACCTGCGCAAAAGAACGTCCGGTTTGGTCATCTCGGCCCGTCGACGGGAAAGCCGGGGGGCCGGCTGTATTTTCGCGTCAATTGCGACCGCACGATCGTGCAACGGGGGGAAAGAGATCGCAATCGGGGCACCGTCGTGCTGCCATTTTCTACTCCCGTAACCCGTTCTAATGTCTTTATCGCGCGCCGGAAGCCTGGCGAACCTATTTTTCACAATCTCGTGCCGCAGCGACGATTTATTCAAAAATATCGAACGATTTGGTTTACGTTTAAGCGTTAAAAACATAAAATTCACGACTATGGGAAGAATAGTAGCCTTGGATCAAAATCGACCCACCGGGAGGCAACGCGTTACGGTGTAATATACGCGATTTGGTTTACGTTTGAGAGTTAAAGACATAAAATTCACGACTATGGGAAGAATACTAGCTTTGGGTCAAAATTGATCCACCAGTAGGGAACGCGTTACGGTGTAATATAATTACGTCACGATCTATGGTAAATGGGAGATTGTACTCGTTACGGTTCTCGAGACAAGAATTGAATTCTTCTCCGATGATTGGTGGTGGAGCGTTGCGTAACCTAACAGTGACTTATGCTGTCGGATACCTAGCATAACCGTCTTCAGAAAATGTAATCTTAAGTGGACAGTTGGAACTTTCACTGGGCTGTTGAGGCTCCGGCGAGTACCAGGTTTATGACTCGAACGGTTATTTTCGATCGGCTGCATCGGTCTAGCAAATGCATTTAAATAGGTACGAAGTGTCGTAAACCTGGGGGCTGGGAAGCTTACAAGGTAATAGATACGGGCCTCTTTTCGTGAAACCTTTGCACGAACGTTCGTCGGACCTAAGAATCGAACCGTAATTTGTTTTTGCCACGATTTTACTTCAGAGAGGACTTTTTTTTTATCCGGGCTCCTCCATTTAAGTACCCCCGTAAATCATAATCGAAAAAAGCACCATCTAATTTTTTGTCCTCTCGTTCGAGGCTAGAAGAACCCCATTCTATTCTTTATTCCATAAACGAGAGACAATTATCGTGCTCACTACTCGCCAGCAGAGGGCTACGCTCGACACCTTTCTCGCAAGCACTCGATCATCTTTTCCATTTCTATATTATAAGCTCCTCGATCGATTATTAAGTGACTCAGCGTCTAAGGCAGAACCTGTTAGGATCTTTCTATATAAAATTTATATCGAAACGATTCCACTTGATACTACATGTCGCAAGAGTGTTTCGAGGTTAGGTAGAGGCGATCAGAGAATAGTCTCCTCCGAGTTAATAACGAAAATGAAGCGTTTAATGCTTTTAGGGTACCAAAAAGGAGAGCTTGTTTTAATCGGTGATTCCCCGTGCGTCGTTTATCGATCAGTTAGTCGAACGAAAAGCGGCCAATGGTGGAACGAGGGGGAGGAACACGAGCTCGCGTGCCGTAAGTGTTGCGTAATCGCGAAATTCGGAGTCACGATGTACGATATCGCGCAAGTAGGAAGACGTATGTCCGCGAGCCCCGTCGTATACTGAAGAGGGAGGGGACTTATACACGGGTCCTTCTCCGCACGGACTATTAAACGGACCATGAAATTCCGATTACGCGAGACACACCGATGGCCGTCGAAGCCGCATAGGTACAGGAGGCGGTGCGCCCGCATACGTGCACACGCACGGACACACGTAACCGCCGGTGAATCGACGCCACCGCTATAAGCCATTTCTGGTGTCAGTGACCGGCGAAGGATGAAGCGCCGCGGCGCAGTGCCGTATCGAAAAGTAATTTCGACAACCTGGACCACCCGTTCCCGTCGAAAACAAAAACTACGTCCCTTTGAACCACTCGAAGAACTCGAGTCGAGCAAAATTTGATTCGTTTAGGAATTTTTACTTGCGTAATTTTCATGCAATTGAGAATATTCATAATGTCGTAATTTCGATCGTTGCGAATGGTAACGGGAGAAAAAATTTTTAAGTATAAAGTATCGTTTCTGAGAGGAACTCCCCGACGATACGGCACTGCCGATGTCCGGCTGGCTCCTGAAGTCCGGTTGAACGTCCGTTCCGCCTCGATTGTTTGAAGTATCCTGCATCGAAGAAAAATGGCCGACCGTAGGATCATCCGAGAACTCGTGAATGAACTTCGAATCGGGGCAGCTTCGCGCGATCCTCTTCACGAGGCGCGATTCTAATTCTTGCATCATAAGATTATGAAAAATAAGCAAAAGTTTTAGTCAGACGAAGAATCCCTTTCTCAAATTAATTTTCAAGATGGTCCAGTTTTGCAAACTAACGATTCAATTACGTCAATGAGGAACGAGAAATGCAATCAGCTTGGACGCCAGCTGGTTCGATTCGCGTCTAAGGTTTCCCGTATCACGACCGTGCTAACTAATCGACTAATTAAATAAATCGAATCGGTCATCGATGCCACGAGAACTAAACCAATTTCTCCGGGTTTATATGGGTCGTCCGTTACATTCCCGAGAAGCAGGCGCGAGTCTGTATTGATTCTGCATTGGTACGCTGGTGCACTTAAAAAGGCACGCGAGCCCATCGATCCGAGGATATTTCGGCTCCGTCGAGCGCCTGGCTTTCCCGCGGATCGTGCAACCAAACGATCAAACCGAACGTACGCCTAACTGCAGCAATGTCTTTCGGTTTGTTGCAAATTCCACCCCTACGGGTTGCTACAAAGTTATCCCCACCACGTTCCCAAGCACGACGATGATAAGTCACCGGTGACCGTACTATGGACTTTACGCGTTTATAGCGTATGCAGATATGGAAAACACGCGTTAAACGCACAGGGAACGTATACACTTATGCAAAATGAAATACACAATCGTCGAACACCGCGAAAACATTTTCATACAAGCGCAAACGAAATTCGTTCATTTATTTATAAACGATTTGTAAATTCATGAATTTATACAGGGTCTCCGTTAATTTCTGTATTGAAAGATGTAGGCAATTCACTATAAAAGTGCCTGGGGGTTTTAATAAGCAACGAATCCGGTCAATAGGGAATTTATAAATTTATGAACTCCGTATGAATAAATGACAGACCTACATTCGGTCGCTGATGGAAATAACCTTACATAGGTGTGAACGTTTGTACTTGAATTATAGAGCTGCTCGGATAGGCGCGTACGCTCGAACTTATCAAAATTTAAATCGACAGGCCTATATTCAGTCACGGTCGAAAGCAGCTCCGGATAGGCGCGAGCGTTCGAACACATTAAAAGTTAAATGGACAGACCTATACTCAGCGATACGTGTAACCTGTACACGTGTAAAACAACAGGTACACCGTCGTCGAACTTTTTCTATTTTTCACGCGTGGCAAAAACAGGCGTGGCAGTCGACTGGCTGTCTCTCGGAATTTTTTCCTCGAAAATGCATACGATTTCCGGGATATGTCTATTCACCAAAAATGATTGCAATTGACCCCTGCGGACGACAATAATTTTTTTAGAACAATTTGAAAATTTTATTTTTCGCCGAAATATTTAGGCACATACTCGAATTTTTTTCTAGAAAATGGGTAGGATTTCGGGGGTATGTGTAATGACCAAAAATGATTGCAATCGACCCCTGCAGTCGAAAATAATTTTTTTAGAAGAATTTGAAAATTTTATTTTTCGCCGAAAGTTTAGGCACTTACAGAATTTTTTTCTCGAAAGTGTGTACGATTTCGGGGGTATGTCTATTCACCAAATATGATTGGAATTTACCCCTGCAGTCGAAAATAATTTTTTTAGAAGAATTTGAAAATTTTTTTTTTCGCCGAAGGTTTTGGCACTTTCAGAATTTTTTTCTCGAAAGTGCGTAGGATTTCGGAGGTATGTCTATTTACCAAAAGTGATTGCAATTGACCCCTGCAGACGAAAATAATTTTTTGTGAAACGACAAAGTCCGTCGATAACGAGGTTCACAGCCGTTCGCGCGGAGACTTTCCGCGTCAGGAGGTTCGCGAGGTTCGACGACCGTTGGTCCCGGGGTATCCTCGCGGAAGCATCCGGCGGTGCAATGCTCCCGAAATAACCGCGGAATTCTCATTACGTGAATAATCGAGATCGAGACGATAGCGGGGCGTTTCGCGTCCCCAGAAAACGAAATGAAAGAGATCGCCGGTAGTCCCAGGTGTCGGGAAAAGGGGGGGTGGGTGAGGACAAAAACGACGGTGGAAGACTTTTGTAGAGTAAACCGAGAGGTAGCCCGCGAGAGGACCGGTCCTGCGTCGAGCTTATTCCAGGACATCCCGGAGCCCGAGGGGTTCAACGACCATCCTCCGCCTCCGCCTCCTCTTTCTTCTCCAGCTTTCTGGACCAGGAGAGGACACGGTCTACCTTCTATCTCTGCACCAGCCGCCGCCACCCTCTCCCGATTCTTTCACCGCCACACCTCCTCTTTCTACGACGTGGCGCGGCTCGGTTCTACGCGACCATGATTCCTCCTTGTCTCTGTTCCGACGCCGGCGATAGCTACGGGAATAGGCAGAGCGCATTCATTACGCGTTCAGTTTGCAGACTTTCGGGATCTCGTCGGTGGTTCCGAGGCGGTGGTGGTGGAGGAATCGAGGAAGAGGAGAGCGCGTTGACTAGAAGGACGAGAGAACAACGGCGACGAGGGTTGAAGAGGAAGCGGCACCGACAGGGGCGGGAAGGGAGGGAGGGGGAGGGGGTGGATGGATCGGCGTGACAGCAGCCCGGTCGGGGAAGGTTCATGGACTCTCTCGTCTCCCTCCGCCTCCTCCTCTTTCGCGGTGTGGCTACCCTACGCGGAGGAAAAAGGCGTCGGTGGCCCTGCCAATCCTACGCCCTACGAGGCACTCGTGGGGCGAGGTCACGAGAGGTCATGCGATTGCGAGCCCTACGCCGGTTCGAATCGAACCAGGTGGAAACCGCTATAGGACCGACCTGTGCTAGCCCACTGGCTCGATCAAGGGCCGGAAAGGGTGTACAGGGTGTGTCTGACGCGGTACCTTTCTTAAGTAAAGGGGTCTAGTTGGAATAATGAACAATTTTCTGGATCGAAAGATTGGACCAAACTATAGTTAAACCCGACTTGGTTTGACTTTCGTAGAATTTATGGCTTTCTCGTTACACCGGGACCCTTGACATTGGACACATGTGTAAATGTCCGAGGATTAGGTGGCAGCTATCGAGTGTCGGAGATCGTTCGAGGAAGCAGTAAACGCGAGAAGATGACGGGCAGCGTTGTAAAGCAACTAGGAATTGGAATACCGTTCCCAAAGGGTACGGGCACGAAGTGGGTTAAGACTAGAGTGCCTTCGTTCGATAGCACTGATGTAACAACCTTTCGAATCGAAGATAACGTCGAGGATCGGGATAGCCAGCGACGCAAGTGTTCCGAGTGCAAAGGGGTTAACAATCTCTTTAGTCCGCAGAGTTGCTACTGCTCGAGGCCTCCGAGTGTAAAAGTGCGTCCAGACACTCCAACGCTGGCGAAAAACATTTCCAAAAGGACACGGCTTGCACTCGAAAGCCTCGAAGCAATACCCAAAACCTCGAACGACCCTTTGGTGACCTGTGAAACTGGGTACTTTTAACTTCATAGTATCGTAGGCGACGTCGAGAAGAATTCAACTGTCGGATGACACTGAAGGAAAAATAGGGCTGAAAAATGGTGGGGACTAGTTCTCGTGCCTCACCCTGTACCCATAAAATATTATCCAAGATAGCAAAGACAGTTCCCAGAACCGTGTGCACCGTCGTTTCCTGTTGTTCATAATGAATCCGTCTCTCGTTTCCAGTGGAAAAAGAAGCAATTGCTTGCTGGCCTAACGTGTCCATGATTTTGCGAGGACACGCGTACCGCGACCACGTGGTCCGTGGAGTCCGACGAGCAGACACCGCGAGCCACGCAGCGAAAGGTCAACGGTCCTCGCCGTCGAGTTTTCCCGAACAGCCCTAGATTCCGGCATCGGCGTCTCGCTAGGAATTCCTCGATGGAACAAGGTGCATCGGACACACCCCGTGCGCGAGAGACGTATCCCGGTCCGCGTCTGTGTGCACGCGCGTGTAAGCCAACGGGCAGGTAGAGAGAGAGCGGCGGCTGGCGACTCCGCGGCGTTCCGTGGGGGTCGATCGATGCGGCGAGACGCCGGGCGTCGCACTTTCCGCAAACCATTCCACTCCAGCCTACACACACTGCTATCCCCGTCACCACTACCACCGCGATCCGATCCCGCCGCGCGGCCACACCGCCCGACACCAACGCCGGGACAAACCGAGTATAGCGTCTCTCGCGCCGCGGCAGCCCCTGCGGAAAACCCGCCAGGGCTACGCCACCCCCCACCCCCCACCATCGCTCCAAACCGTCCTCCACCACCTCCCCCTACCACCGCCGCCCCCCGACTACGATTCTCGACGATTCCGTCCGCATAGTACGTCGACCCACAACCCCAGCCACCTAGCCCCGTGCACCCTTCTCCCTTGATCGCCGTGCTACCCCTACGCGCGCGACCCACACTCCCGCCCGACTCGTCGGCATCAATGAAAATGACGTCACGGCAAAAAGCTCGCGTTTAATTATCAACGTTCTACGCTCTTCGCGGTGTAGTAGCAAGAGAAGGGGGGCACCAGGGGGCGAGAAGGGTGGAAACTAGGGACGAGAGGGTGGGGGGGCAGACGTTTTCGTGCGAGCATTTCTACGTCGCGGAGACGATCGTAACTCCCGGGGACGAGTATCACACTACTCCACCGCGTCCCCCGCGCCGCTCTCAACCCCGTTTTCTTTCTTCCGCGACGTTTCCAGCAGACGCGTAAACAGGGGACAACGAGGGGAGAACGGACCTTTCTTCCACGTCTGCTTGGATCGGCGGATCGAGGCCGCGGGGAACCACCCGGCGCATCTCGATCTCTCGAATCCTCCGCCTTTCATCTTTTGGTACCGGAGAGCCAACGATTCCGGGTTTCGCCCCCGTGATAACGATCGAAGAATGGAAACGAGAAACGAGTCGAATGAGAATGTTGGATTTACAAAAATCATCTCCAGTGACGATTGTATATGTCTCGAGTTTTAGCCATGGGTTCTACGAACTCAATGGTGTTTATTATAGAAAGATAAGAGTTCTTAGACATATCATTTAATAAAAAGTACATTCTATCAGTAATTATTGTCGTTTCATTCGAATCACACGTCCCATAGTCCTACCTTTTCCAACAGAGAATAATGATAAAAATGATAAAACTTTTGTTTTATCAGGCGTTCAAAAATGCTGGGACGCTGGCGTCGGTACGTTCCTGTATAACGTACGACCGAATGACATTTTTGTGGCAGATCGATAATACATGTTATGCGTATTTAACTCTCAGAATACCTTGTGGCTGTCCGTAAAGCCCATTCACAAAAATATGATTTTTAAAACCGATACCACGAACGTTCTGGATAAAACTCGACGTAATATTATGAGGGTGATATTCATTCATGGTTTTTTAATACACGTAACACGGATGTTACTTCTATTTTTCCATTGTTCCGATTAAAACTCGTTTCTCTTTTCTGTATGTTGAAACGTTTATAAATGTTCAATTATTCGGCACGGTGCTTTTCATGTGACGAGAGATTATTAGAGTGAAATCCTCTTAAACGTGATATTAATGATACAGAATGCTTGGTATCCGTAGCTGGTCAGTTATCGGTTCATTTTTATCCGAATAAATCTAGGTTCACGTTGATCGTGATCGAGGAATTCTTTGCGGCGCGTGCCAAATGATGGCTTTCAATCGTAGCGACCGCAACGTCGACGAAACCGAGCCACGAAAACCGCGGAGGCGGTTCCTCCTATAAACTCTGGCTCCTAATTCGGTTATCCTTTCGATTTCGTACGAGAGGATGTCGTCATCCTGTCCCCTTGGACGCGTCAAGGTCGGGCGAACGTGCGTGCGTGAAAAAGGAAGGAAGAAGAGAATAATCTGCACTCACTGAAATCGATGAGTAGCCGGCCGTAACCCTGGCGCTGATAAGGCGGTAACGTCAGAATGCAGGATACGTTGTAATTGAGGAAAGAGTTCTTTTCCTGAAACAGAACCAGAATGATTCAGAATTATCCATCGTCGCTAGCAATAAATTTCTATCGTAAACCGTGCGTTCGATGCTTAAATTTACTTTAAACATGACAACGCAGACATAACCTTTAAAACTGCGAACGAAAGTGCATATAATCGAACGAAAAGTTCAAGGGAACCATTTATGTATACCATAATTTAATCGTAATGTTTATTCTGATATACCGTTTTGTAATAGAACCAAAAAATCGACAGAATTACTAGAGACACCTCGTTTCAATTTCTCGTACTATGCCAGATCACGACGTACGCGAGCTCTGAGAATTTCACGAAACTTTTTTGTTCATTATGGTATACTTTGCTTATGCGAGCCTGCATAGGTCGGAAAGTAAAAAATGCGTGGGCGGTCGAGATTCCAAATCGTGTGCCGTTGACGCGAGGGTCGGATTTCAGTTCGAGAACGAGAAGGGAAATGTGAACCTTCCTCTCTCGCCTCCCACGAGACGGTTCGAAGTCACTTCGGGCAGCTTCGGAGGATCGAAAAAGAGAGCATGTGTCAGTATGCCTTTGTCGGCCCTCCGAAACATGGTGTGAGAAAGTGGAATGAGGTGTCTGGCATCTCTAACGCGAAGACCGATCTAGTATACTGGAAATAAAATCCCCTAGACGAAAAGTATAACAAGAACGTTGAGTTTGTCTGCTAGGAATGAACGTATAGGTTATGTCTTGCAAGGAAAGTGAAAAGATATACCAAAGAGAAACAAATATTATTTCTATGGAGTTTCTATGGAGGTTATAAAGGCACTAATGTTACAAGCATTGGTATTTAGCTTCCATGGAAGTCCCTGGTTAAAGGACGTCGACTTTTTCGTCCGCGTACATATGTTCAACGTTTGGAACACGGACGTGTTTACGCGGAAACGCAGAATAATATTTTTGTCCGCCCAGACAGGTTGCGTGTGCGGCAGACACAATATTGGGAGCGTTATGACGTTGCAGCGACACGAAAATGCGTCGCGACCTTCGTCACATGAAAACACAATGGGCTAACGATATTTTCGAACCGACCACGGTCGGCGTTCAAGAAGCCCATAATATGTTTTATTAAACGCGTTACCCCGCGACAGAGGAGCGTGAAACGTTCCAAATATTATTTTAACCCCTTGCCTGACTAGCCCAATGTGTTCATATACAGCATGTCCCATCTAACTTGATCTTTGAAGACATTCTAATTTCAATATTGTGGGCGATGGTATCGAAAGTATATTATTAAAATTTGGGGAAAATTGAATCATAGAATAGGAGAGAAATAACACAAAACTTTTCTCGATGATTTTTTTTACGTTCCAGTTAATAGAATCATCCTGTATGCGATACGTAAGCATCGACTAGCCCCGTGACATTCACGAGCCGCACGGTAACTTGCCGTTGAAACGTTGAAACGGTTCTTATCTGGCGTTAATCGGATACGGTAGTTTAAACACATGGGCGTCTATATAACCAAGGTCGGATATGGCTATATTTAGTGGCTCCTTTGTTATATACGATTTTAAGTGATGCTCCTCTGTCACAAATGATTTTAAATGGTTACAGAAATAAAAATCCAGCAGTTTTAAATTCGGGGAAGACGTACGGTCAGGCGTCAGGTCTTACATAACCTATCCACTTCGTGGAAGAATTATCTGGCTACACGGAAAAACCTTCCTTTAAGGAAAACGAGCAGAATAGTTTAGTAGAATCAGTTTATACTAGTTCAGTTTCTGATCAAGAGTCAGATCACACGAGTGGCTATATTACAGATGATGCAATAGGGCGGATGCTTATGTGAACTTTTATTATTGCTTTGATACAGAATGATTTTACTATTCGTAACTTTAAATGGAGGATATATTTAAGTGGTACACCATGTATAGCGTCGCGTCAAGTTTTCGACAACGTATTTTTTACCGTGACACCCAAGTGGGCGTATACCTATAAAAGCGACGTGCGTATCGCCTGGCCAGAGATTAGATAAATTTCGTGTGAAATTACATTTGGACGATGCTCGATGAATTTTTGAAATTCGCAGAACTTGTTCCGTTCTTTTTAAAATTGGATAGGAACAAAGCCAGGAATCCGATTCGAGAAAATCGACGTTAATATTTGGTTCCCCGCTGTAAACATAAAACAGTTCCGTTAGAACGTGCATCGTTGCATTGGCTTTTCGTGTTGTATCGAATGTGTGCGTGTACAGTCTCGCGTGACCGACTGTAGCTGCGGCGTACATCGAATCTGGGTTTCGAAACGAATTTAATTTCTGCATAGCAATGGTACGGACGTGATTACTTGTATTTCGAGCTGCACCGTTCGGCCGTTACGGGGCGAATTATGTCCGTCCTTCGAATCGCGTGATATGTTATCGTTTTATTACAATCCGATTATACGAGAATATTATTCAGTTCGAAGGTCTCGTTTTAATCGCGACGGTATTTATTTCGGAAAACGCGCGAAACAAAAGGGGAAGTGCTCGTCGAGCTTGCACGCGCGTCGACCGCCATTTAAAATGGCCACTATTGCCAAATCCGATCGGTAATCGTAGAAAATGGCGCCCGTTCAATTTCTCTTGTCCTTCGTAAGCGAGCAGAAGGTTTATCTCCAAGTTGGTGGAATAGTTCTTCGACCGCTGTTGGTACATCTTGCTGGGTCGAGCAATTTCTTCCCTTACTGTGGGAATACCGGTTTCTTTGACGATTTAACGATTCGGAACGTACCGACTTGCGTTCGATATGGTTCTTAGTTTCTTGCTTCGCAATTTCTCTATGATTTTTACGTCAGCGTCAGATGTCTGCTGTTAATTTCGAAGCAGAGTACAAACCTAACCTAACCCTGTCCAACGAAGTTCTAAATTCTATCGATGATGTGCGATCCGATGCTGAAGGTCGTTCGGAAATGATCTGCAATTCAGGACAGCTCGCTAACACTGCGATTCGCAGTCGTCTCATTATGGACTAGAGCCTTCGATTTTCTACGTGTCTTAAAATACACGTGAGACACGGACGCGTGAAAATAATTGCAATGAACAGGGTTTATACAACTAGACGGGCTCGTGTCCTTCGTGTAAATAAATGATTCGATTACCGTTAGGGTGCAAGTTCTACAAGAATGTTCTTGGTCCCAGAGAAGTCTCGTTCGATCGTACGAGAACCGATCGATTACGTACGATTCAAGCTTTTAGAGGTTAGGACGCTGGCGGAGATTCGTCGAGCCGTGGTCGAGGCCAACTCGCGCGTAGAATTCGTCGTTAATCATTCCACGCCCCACGGTCCCATTTCGACGGCGAAGAACGATCCCGGTACAACTCGAACACCCGGTATTTCCGGCCGTCGCAACCGTGCTGTTGCTAACTGCCGAGTGGGGCAGCAACGGTTCGAAGGACACACGACTCGGGAGAAGACTCGGCCATGGTGTGCGTGCGTGTTCGACGCTGGAGGGAAAAGGACGGGCAGAGGGACAAAGAGAGGAGCGAGAGCCGTGGATGGAAGAAGAAAAAGGTTTTCGGGGCCCTACGAGCGGGCCCCGTCGGCTGACCGTCGAATAGGCGAATCTCGTCGCGGAGAACTGCTAAAAGCCAGAGACAAAATATGGGATGAGCAGCACCGTTGAACTTTATACCGGCGACGAAGAAGCGTCTCGCGGCGAGCAGAGAGGGACAGGCGCGGAAGGAAAAGGGGGGGAGCAGCTAGACGGCGGATAGAAGGAGAGGAGAATACGAGAATCTGGGCCCCGCGACGTCCTTGGGCCAGTAGTCTCAGCTCCGTTCAGGGACGTCGAGACGTCCCCACCTTGGACGCGCGGACGCAACCGGAGGGCCCCTCGCGCGCTCTGCTTTTCCTCCCCGGTTGCTCTTTTATCCGTCTTTTTCTCGTTCGTTCGCGGGAGGTTCCGTCGCGGCGACAGAAACTTATCCCGACGAGGATCGATCGACGGGTGTCGGGTTGAGTCACGTTTCAGCGAAACGAACCGTGTCCCGGTTTTCCGTTTAAGGAAAGGAAAACCGCGAATGCCGCGCGATTAATAGCCGAGTCCATCCCCGGCTTTCGGATTTCAGATTTCCTTCGGCCAGGAATTCCGAACACGCCGGGACCTTCCGGACGGGCGTCGAGGAACGAGCCACTTATCGCGAACAGACGTATCGGGTTCTGAGGAAAGTTCGCGGCGCGTTTCTAACGGGCGACATTAACGGAGCGACGATTGTCGTTTCTCGTTAACACGGACACCGGCGAAATTTGCTTCGAATACTCGAACGATCTTAGTCGATTAACCTCTTGCACTGCACTGAAATTCGGGAGAAATCTGTACCTAACCTAATATCGGAACTTGAAACTCGATATGTCGATCGACGGAATATCGATAGTGCAAGGGGTTAATAGCGAATTAAAATGCTTGGAATAAATTTAATATTTCATTTATGAACCTTCAGCGCCTAACTTTGGAATAACCGAAACAAAATATTCCACAGAGTTTCGTCGTCCGATCCGTGGATTCACCCCTCCGAATATCATCGCAATCTCCGGTGGAACAACTGTCAGATTCCCTCGTTAGATTGTTGTAATTGTCTACTTCCTCGTTACAGTTGCTTAAATAAATTAGGCAGGCTATGCATAATTCCGCGATAATGCAATATAATTTGCGATAACGTAATTTCACGATCGCGTATGCCTAGTCATTCGTACGCTTTCCAGTATGATTTTGCAAAAACCGTTTTTCATCGACGCGAATAAATAATACTGTAATTCATCTATAAAATAAATCTTCGCGCCCTTTCGCGACGAAGAATCCTCTTCCTTTCCTCGTCCCGTTGACCGTTCCACGGCGTTCGGTTCCCGATCGCCGCGACACCGAGCAACACGAACAAAGCGATACGCGTCGCGGCGGAGTCGCCGAATGATAAGCTTTCCGCGTAACTTCGTCTCTTCCAGGGAACGATCGGTGCGCGCGCGTTATCGATCGTAGCCACTGAAAGGAGTCACCA